GGTTCTGGCGGTAGCACTTTTAGCTGTAGCTTAGCATAGATCATTGAATCTGATTAGACCGTTAGCATCTGGCTCAAAAATGACCAAAGAGTTTCTATATTGTGTACTAAGACCGACGGAAAATGAAAAGTTGTGATTTTCTAGGCCGATATGGCTGGGAACTATACTCTCATTCCGGCGTGATAATCAAGGAACTTTGCTGCCCTACCATGGGTGCAGCAGGCGCAATGATATTACGCAGTAGGGCTGTCAAAAAAAATCAAATTTCGAATATTTGTCGAATTTAAAATAAAAATCCACATGCTTTAAGGAGGCAGCCTTATCAGCAGCGCACGAGATGACGATGTAAGTGTCGTAGCATTATAATGTTTTTGTTAGCCTGTCCAGTTGAAGCAACTAGATGCGGCGCTGCTGCGTTGTTCATTAAAAATATAGCGGAAAAAGAGAACATCAATGCGGAGAAGATCTTGTTTACATCAAAACTGAAACCAAGCCGTTCACACAGAACACATATTTCACGCATTTTCTAGACGGACATCTATTACTGTTGCACTCGCGTCTCGCACAAAAGAGCCGCATGTTTAGAAAGCCATATAAAATTAATGCAAGTTTAACTTTGGAAAAAAACATATCTCGAGACTTTATGGCGGGTTTTCCCCATCCCACTGCATCTCATGTTTTTAAATGAAAAATGTACTCTGTGATTGGCTTTCCGCTTTTTGTATTAAACTATGCATACATACATGATGCTGTTTTGTTTATAGTTGTTTAAGCAACTTAATTATAATTGGTTTATAAACATTATTTTAAACATTATGCACTTTTTTTTGCAGATAGTCATGTTATCTTATGCTTTGAATGATGCTCCCTCTTGTGGCCTCAGGAGAGAAGCCAAAAGCTTTTCTTCATCCTAACTGAAATTATGCATTTTAAATTCGAATATAATACAAAATTCGAATTTAGTTTTTCAGCCATTTTGACAGCCCTATTAAGCAGCGCCTGAAAATAGTCCCAGCACGCTCCCTGTGCAAGCAGGTGGTCACGTTGGTAATGTTGACAGAAGTTAGCCTATTTTCAGGCGCTGCTTAATATCATTGCGCCTGCTGCACCCATGGTACAGAAGCAAAGTTCCTTGATTATTACGCCAGAATGAGAGTATAGTTCCTAGCCATATCGGCCTAGAAAATCCCAACTTTTCATTTTCTGTCGGTCTTAGTACACAATGTAACTACAGAAGAGTCAAGTTTTAAATAGGAAAAATATAGAAACTCTTTGGTCATTTTTGAGCGAGATGCTAACGGTCTAATCAGATTCAATGATCTATGCTAAGCTACAGCTAAAAGTGCTACCGCCAGACCCGGAGATCAGCTGAATGGATTTGAAAACGGTAAAACTCAACTGTTTAACTCTAGGGGAGTTGGAAAATGAGCCTATTTTCAAAAATAGTGGAGTGCTCCTTTAAGCAATTTTCATTAAATTAAGCTAAACTCCCACAACCTCATAGCAACTCCCTAACAACAGCGCAAAAGATCCTAGCAACACAGAACACCCTTGTGATCACATGCAAAGTGATAACGCTCAAAATATCCTAGCAAAAACCTAGTAAACCTTAGTAACCACACTGCAACACCCTGCCAACCGCTCAGAACACTGTAATAAGTGCATAGCAATGTGTTAAAAGCCACTTAGCAACACCCTAGTAGCCACATTGTAATATGATTAAAAAGCACGTAGAACACCAGTAAAAGCATAGTAACAGCTTGGCGAACACCCTTGTGGGTTGGGTTTTCTCTGGAAACACCATCAGTCTCTACTCACTGGGTCATATTCATATTCATTGTCTTTTGCTTCTGTTTTTCTCTCTTCAGCTCACATTTACTGTGTCCACCACCTATAACTTTGCAGTTCTGCGGTATCTGGGGAGGAAAGGCATCAGTCCACGCTGTTAGCGTCTGTTCTGTCCTGGTGTCCTTCTGCGGTCAATAACAGCACCATATTGGAGCACTTTAGAATTTCTCATCTTCTTCTTTTCCACAACACAACACACTTTCCTGACTCTCTTGTAGATTTTATTTACATTTTTTTTGGATGTAAAGATTTACAAACTTGAAATCTGCCTTTTCTACCTGTATACTGCTCCCGACCACTAGAGGAGATATTCTGCCTTCAAGCTAAACGAGTCGTGTTTTTTAGGCAGTCTTCAGCAGTACACAAACTGTAGAGTCAACATTCACAATGAAAACTCAAATTATGACCAATCGCACGCTTCTGCTGCCATTATTCTTTAGTTGACTCGAAGAGAATCCCTTTTCGTATTAGCTACAATAGGGGATCTTGTGCTTTCATATCATTAATTTATATTTATTTTTTTTACCCTTTTTAGGTCAAGAATGCATTCCTTTTTTTGTTTTTGAGATCTGAAAGTATAGTTTGAGTTTTACTTTCTGTACCTACTATCAAATATTTTTGTTTACAGCTAGTATACGAGTCCATTTGAGACCGTCTGCAGTTTTTTCCATAGTTGAAATTACTTGATTGGACAAAATCTATAATTGCTTTGGGAAATAAAAGTAAAAATAATAATCGGGTAGAAATAATATTTTAGATGCTTGAGTTTCAATCTCATGGCGGTGATAGCTGGTTTCCATGGTGACCATCCCTCACATCTGGTTGCCATGGAGAGAGACAGCAATGCATGCTGTTTTCTTGTGACCCCAGCACTTTTTTTTTTCTCACAGCCGCTTGAAAGGACTGAGAAAAGCCTAAACAATGAATCAGCCCCTCTTTGTTTAGAGGGAAGCCCCGGCACAAACCCATGCTAGGGGTCAGTTTACGCGTCAGAAGATATCGCCCACTGACAAAGAGGCTTCTGGGACTTTTCAGCTGCTTGAATAAAAGCCTTTCTGTGACCGGTGCACAGATGCGGCTGAGCAGGTATTTTACTGCAGAGCGTGTCGTTACTAATAGTGTTTCGTTGCTGGGATATTTCACTGAAAATTGAGAGCGAAAGACACTTAGGTAGAAAACAAAAATGGGAAAAAAGCAGCCTTATCAGCCATAGCTTAATTTTGTTTGTTTTCTGTAGATACAATTTTTTTTTCTTTACAAAAGGTAACTCATTCAGGATGTTTTAATGTATTTCATCCTGAATATTTTTTATAATACATGTTGGATGCTTGATCACCCTGTAGCGTTTGATGAAAGCATGATTTTAGTGTAGCAGTAGTTCACCACCTAAACAGTTCACAAAGGAAAACTGTCATCGTTTACTCACCCTTATGTCGTTCCAAACCTGTATGCATGACTAGTGCACTACATCACAAGGCTTCTGAAGTCAGACAACTGAAATTGAACCCAATGTTTGGTACCTTTATTTGCAGGAAAACACTATCAGTAAATAGACAAATACTGATGTTCAAGTATTAGCAATTAATACGATCCTGCGTGTTTAGCAGTTTGAGTACGAGAAACACAGTGGTGCATCTATTTCACCATACGTGTATGCAGCAGATATGCCAGCATGTCCATCAACAAAAACAAAGTAACAACATGCAATGTTTTACATGTATAACAAACGTATGACAGCAGGCAAGCAAAGGTTACGCATTAAGCATTTCAGAACATCAGCTGCCCAATCCACAGATTTGGGTCTCTCTAGTTGTAATGAGACTTACAGCAGTATGTATAGCAGAGGCAACGAGAACATTCATATTGTAGGGAAAGCACTAGGAAATAAGTCAATATTATAAAAGATATAGGCCTAAGTAAAATAAGTTAAAGTACCTATAAATGCACTAAATCAAGGGTCTTTCACAAGTGCCCTCTAAACACGGTCAAAGGTCAGTGCAAGATAACTGGGTACCGTGTGCTTTAGTTTCATATCAACATTGGCCAGAAAATGAGGAAACGACTAATGTGAAGTCATTTATCAGCTGTGAGTCTCTTCAAGTCTGCTGTGGACGTCAAACAAGCGCCAGCATTAAATGTAGACAGGAATGTTCTTGCATGCTTTCAGAAAATAATCTGTACCTTGGTCTAAGCCACATTCCTGAGTCATTTACTGAGACCGATGTGGTCTAAACCCACAAACTGACCAACACACACTCCACACTCCTCATGCAAGAGACTTTCTCGCTTCATTAAACACTACCCAGATTCAGCATGGAATTAGACATGTAAAATCACTCAAATATACACACAACTGAAACAAAACCATTAAAAAAATAAAACGACATGTGTAACATCTAACACAAACTCCCTGTACCTTACAGTACAAACAAAAACAACTTGTAATGGAAACAAAATCTTAATCTTACAATACTACAATAGAAGAAATTCCCTTTCTGTCTAAAAATAGTGCTGTACTCATCTCAGGCTATCTGTTGGCTATATACACTAATCTGAGGTTATGCGTTTTACTACATGTACCATAACACGGTGAATCTAGTGAAGACACGGTCATATTTCAACCCAAAATAAACAAACCAATAAAATAAAAAAATTCATGCATGAAGAGTGTGAAGGCTTCTCATCATTTAACTGCTTCATCATGTGTGGACACAATTATTTTGACTAATTATTAAAACCAGCATAAATTGAAGCTAACACAACAAATGCTAAAATGACGGATAAATCATTTACAGTTTAAATAAAGGAGAATGACGGTTTTTTAGTTGTTTTAATATTACAATAACGATCATGAGTTTTTCTCACGTTATGGTAATAGCAATTTGTGTTTCAATTATCATGAAAATAACGTCACGGTCAAAAATAAGCTGCGTTTTCTTTATTTGATCTTCTTTATCATATTTTTTTTATTTTGAATTTGAGGTGAAATATGACCTGAGAACATGTTCTTGACAGACTTCACCCAAAGAATAACTTATTAGCAAAATAAATTAAAATTGCATTATTTCTTTCAAACAATATTATATTACCAATAAAAAAGGTCTGTAATATCTGACTCTGTATTTTGAAATATCTGAAAAAAATGAATACCACAGCATAATAGCTCATTAATCATAAGATGGTCCATTTAGAAACTGGCAGAAGGGAGGCTAGATCTGCGGTCCAAAACATGAAGCTATCATTAAACACCACGCCACCAGCAGACAAGCCTTCGACTGGGAAACCGTCATGGAATATGTTATGTGTGCCAGATATGTGTGAAATGCCTTTACTGTTTGGTAACTCTGTTACATTGTACCTACACAGAAAGCTCTCAAGCGTATCAGCAAGAGAGTAGGTCCACAGCTATGAAGCCACAAGGCACCTCAACAGCAGGATGAGCGAGCCACTTTACGATTTCCGTGGAGATCAATGGAGCTGCTCAGCAGGGTGTGGTCGATGGGGTCCTCGCTGGCCAGAACTTCCCGGACAGCAGCCTCGAAAGCAGCCACCACGTTCGTGTCGTCCTTGGCGCTGGTCTCGAAGTACGGACAGCAGCCGTTTTCCTCACACCAAGCCCTGGCCTCATCCTCGCCGACCTCCCGCTCCTCCTTGTCCACCTTGTTTCCCAGCACCACAAAGGGGAAGCGCTCCGGGTCTCGTACGTCTGAGTAATACATGAACTCCTTCTTCCAGCAGCCCAGGTTCTGGAAGCTCTGCAGGTCGTCCACGGCGAAGGTGAGCAGGCAGCAGTCCGCCCCGCGGTAGAAGGGCGTGCGCAGGCTCTTGAAGCGCTCCTGGCCCGCCGTGTCCCAGATCTGCAGGGTGACCAGCCGACCGTCGATCTCCAGGTCACGGTTGAGGAACTCCACACCAATGGTGTGGAACGACTGCGAGTCGAAGCGGTCGGTCACGTAGCGGTTCATCAGGGAGCTTTTGCCCACGCCGCCGTCCCCCAGGAGAATGACCTTCAGCAAGAGGCTCTTCCCACTCATAACGGCCCCCGGTGCCACACTGTAGCGTTCACTGTAGCCTGACGAGCACAAATACACCCACAATGACTTTACAGGTTAAATAGCTGATGAACTATGAAAGGGCTAAACCTCTCAAAACCGTGTATGGCAGATAGATAATGGTTGTTTATGGGTCAGATGCTCCCTGAGACTTTGGCCGGGACAACACCTTCTCTGAGAGCACACGGATTGGTTAAACACAGGACTGCCATCTGCTTTGCTCTTTAATTTCAACGATTAAGCTTGTGCTAAGATGGAAATCAGTGTGCGACAAACATGGTCTAGTGTGATAATTTCCTGCTCCACCATAAGCAACAACACTCTAGCTTGGTTACTGGGATTACATTCCAAAAATATGTCTTGTATTACCCTAAAGGTGCAGCATTTTGAAAGCAAAATCCAGTAATTTCAATAGCAATCAGTGCAATTGGGAGTTTTGCCTGAAAACTAAGAGGATCCCACCGAGATTTCGCAGTGCTACACTGACAACGGACAAGAGACCTTTTTTTGCCTGCAAACTTTTGATGAATTTTGTGAGCACACCTAATTATAATATATTGGAGTAACAATTATCTCATACATATTTTACAGTGATTATAAAACACAAACCTTCATCACTAATGGGATTTCCTTCAAACTGGGTATTTTTTCAGACTGTCATTTCTGTATCTTTTTTGATGATATTTGTGGCTAATACCAAATGTTTTACTGTAGCTGGCGACAAGTAAGGTTGCTGTGGTGAATTTTTGTTAGAGAAAACATGCAGACTAATTTTCACATGCAGCACTTCTACAAAGTCCGAAACGATACTGGCAGAATAAAATGCATTATTCGGCGTTATTTAATACCTTAGTAAAGTGTTTACTTGCGTATTTATTTAAATACAAATAGAGGGAACCGATTACCGTTCTCTGCGCATGCGCAAGCGTGCATGACAGCTGTGTTTTTAGCATACGAGTGCTAAAGCTAAGGTTTATTTGTATTACTCTCGCAATTGCTGCTCGATCTCAGCTCGTGCTATGGCTAATACACATGGCTGGTATTTTTATGTTCGTGTTTGGTGTCATTAACCTTATACATACTCTCAGCCCTGTTAGCTCAATCTAGCTAACGTTATATGACTAGCACGGTTTCAGATGCTTTATTAAATAAAGTGCAGCACTGTTACGCATACGTGAACATACATACAGGAGAAAAAAAAATCACTCTGGTCTTAAATGACTTCAATCGTGTAAAAATACTCTGTGAATTACCTCATATTGTACCGCGAGCAGTGCTGCCAGTGCTGAGATTCACGCCGGGCGAGTGAGAGAGAGAGAGAGAGAGAATGTGATGAGTGTTCAAGCTAAATTAATTGTAATGACTTATTTTATGCAATTGTTTTATTGAGTACGTTTAATTAATATTATATGCTATTAAAGAGGTCAAATAAATTGTTTTAGAATTGTATTTATAACTACGAGTCATGTTAGTTCTCATCCAGAACTCTAGGAGGCAGTAATGCTCCGCTTCTCCCGCTGCGTTCCTCAAAGCAGGAAGAGCCAGAGCGGTCATCATGCGTTCCACAGCAGCATCTTGTGTCCGTCCTGAGTTACTGGAGAGGACAAACTGTGGAGATGCAGACATACAGCATGCGTTTGTCCTGAACTGAAGTAAGAAAGTATGCTGTCAGGGCAAATAAGCGTCTGGGTTTGTGCTTTGTCGGAAATGTGTTTTTATTTTCTTCTTTGGCTGCGCTTAAAACATAGTGTGCTCTATACCCAGAGTGCATTTCTGGACATAATAGGCGAATTTGTTGCCCAAAATGCTCGTTAAGTAGGCTGCTGACTACGTCTTACCATTATGATGACCAAAAATGATGTCTAAATTAGGCACCTTAGTAAGTTTCGACACCACAATCCCCAAAAGGCTGTCTTGAAAGCTCATTATGTTTTGAAATACAGCCATTTCTATTGGTTTACTCCATATGTGTTACTGTACATGTACATAACTGTTCTAAATAGTTTACAGGGCTCAACACTAAGCATTTTTTTCTACCTGCCTGGTTGGGATAGAGATTCAGATTATTACTTTCCCTGCCAACATTTTTAATGACCCTGCCAAAAAAAGAATGACTTTTTTTATTAATTTAAAAACTAAAAAATATATTATTTAAATATATTGTTTTCGACCCATGCCATATAACCCTATAATATTGTTAAGACGGCAACATTTTGATACCAGTGAAACTTCACAATTCTCAATCCATCTTCAATACCAAAGCATTTCAGGGGAAGATGGCAGGGATCGGAATCGGCCGATTTTCCTCATAATCGGCCCAGATTGGTGATCGGTCGGTCAGTCTCACTTCTTTCCGATTCCGAGCCGATCAGTTTTGTTACCAGCGGCACAGGCAATAACATCAGCCACGCATTCTCGCTCTCTTCTCTCCGACGACCCCTTCTCTCTCACACACGTCTCATTCGCTCCGGTTAAATGCTTGTATTGCGCACCGCAGGTTTCACGCTTATACCAAACGTGCGTGCACCACCAGTGATCAATATTAGTGGAGCGCACAAGCCGCACTCAGTCTCAAACAGCTTGAGAGCCACAAATACCAAAATGAGTGGCTAACTGCGCTAAAACGTTCAAATACATACAAAATTATGTCAAAATGCCCATCTTGGCGAGTATCCAGTTAAACACAGTCAGTTTTGGAACGTTAAATAGTTGAGAAAGAGAACGCATATTGTGTAACATGGGCCTGTTTACACCTGGTCACTTCATGCGTTTTTTCTGATGGGATAGCTATCCGATCATGAAAAGACCAGGTGTAAATGCCCTCCGAAATGCGTTTGAGATGGATATAAATCTGATCGCTCAAACCACTTCAGGAGCTGGTCCGCATTCCAGACGAAACTCGACAAGTGGAAATGCATCTGGTTGTTGAAATCACATATGTAAATTTTACTCCTCCCAAAATGATAAAATAATAAACGTGTGAGAGCGTGTTATAGGCTATATGACATTATATGACTGCACAAACTGCCACGAATGAAACCAAGTAAGACGCAGACAGTCAACACACATTCATCTTCATTAAAGGGGTCCTATTATGCTTTTTCACTTTTTTAATTTTAGTCAGTGTGTAGTGTGTATGTTTGGGTATTAAAAAGATCTAGAAAGTTACAAATCTCAAAGTCCACTTCAAAGGGAGATATTTCGTTTTTTAAAAATCAATTTTCAAGAACTACAGCAGACGGCTCGTTTGGACTACAGCGTTTGGTTTCCGGGCTTTGTGATATCACAAAGCGGCTCATTGGAATATCATTACAAATAATTCCCACCT